GGTCATGCACTAGCCATGCACAGCAGGTCACCTGACCATCCAATCCTCCAGCAGGTTCCAGCACATGCCAAGGTATACCAGCTACTTCCATGTCATAAAGGCTTAGTCATGTCTTTTGACCAAGCAATGAGCTGGTGCCCTGACACCTCATCAGCACCTTATCCTCTACCCCTCAATGACAACTTCCTCTCTCCACTTGACTTCAATCTCTACTACATCTGGGCAGCCTCTGTCGATTATAGTGTGCCCTCACAGCCAGCCAGTGAAATGTGTAGCTGTCAATCTCTCAGTGACTGCAGCACAGAAAGGAATGAACCACATACTGGTCTAGGGGAAGATCCTTGTCATACCAGCCTTGCACAATTCCTTCTGTAAATAGGTCTTCATACCAGGGCATGAACTTGCAACAAAGTTGTCCCCATTTTATCTCTGGCTTTATATTTGTGTGTCCCCTCATCCATTTATGCTGTAGGTTGCCCACAAGGCTGGGGTTGAGCTTCTGCCAGAGCCAGCTGTGGCCGTTTGCAATGTTGTTGTTTTCAGAGCCAGGATCAGAGTGGGTTATGAGGGGAATGCCTAGTATTTGTCAGCTGTGATGAGTTTCTAAGAGAGAATGTGTACCCCTGTGGAGCCAAGCCATGTCTAAATAATAGCAAAAGATCAGGCAGGGATTCCTATTCCTCCACCACACCCGCAACCAGAGCAGTTGTCAGGGGATGTCTCTAAAATCAATTGTGAACAGCTGCAATTGACAATGATCAAGCACAGTCACATGGCACAACACCCCAAATGACAGCCAATACTACAATCACCCAACTCCAGGAAGGACAAATCCCAGAACATGAGACATCGGTCATAGATCATGCAGGACTGACCAGACAAGAGACACAAGGTGCCTGCCCTAAGCAAGCTGTATAGTCAGCCACAGACTTTGCTTCCTTTTTACTTCCATACCTAGACATATATAGAACCCTAGGTATAGCCCCTGTAGCTCTTTAGAGCTAATCTCTCAGGAACCCCACAGTCCAAAGTCATTAGGTTCTAAACATGAAGCTTTAATCATTCTGAATGTGCACATGACACACACACAATTGTGCCTGTTAGCTGCTGATCCCCACTCACTCTATAACACCCCTGTCGATCCCTCCATTTGTAAACAAACATTGAGGCATTGATTGACATATGACTCACTACTCTCCAATTTGCTTGTCACCTGTTTGGTTATTCAATCATCAACAATTGTTGGATCATGTTGCCCTCACAGATACCATCCTTGCCTAACAAGCTCACATCAGCTGAGATTCCTTTTTGTGGAGAAATGCCAAGTCACCTTAGTAATCTGATATATACACTTGTTTCCCTGTTGCATGATACTGCAGATGCTGGGTAAATGACAGAAACCTTGTGATGTCTCCTTCTGGGCCAGTTTTGATGCAAGGCACAGCACTACTATTGTGAATATACTTTGTAAATCCTGTCAATATATCAGGCACAGGGATTAGCTCTTCCACCAGATATGGTACATAATGTCATGTGGCTTTCTTGCTCTTCACAGAGGGGGGGTTGGGGAGATCAACTTGAAACATGCTGCTCTCCACGAAATGAACAACAGGAAATGTTGTCATGACAATCAGATCAGTGGAGTCTGCCTTTGATCAAGCCTTGTGGATCAAATCATACACCAGTTGCATCAGCAATGCAGCCCACATCAAACAGGTGATCTCAATTGCTGGCTTCTCTTCTTCCTGCTCTTTGCCAAGGCAAACAAAGCCATCATAGGTATTTGGTTGCTTTGCTGTTGAGGTTGCTGCATCCTTACCAGCATATCTGGGCTTTGCAACATAACAGTGCTTCAGTGCGACAGAAACTTGCTTATTGACCTGGAAGATGCTCTTTGGCACCTTGATGGATGCATGCTGCTGTAGAGATAGAGTTCCGGGATGCACAGTCTTGAATGAGCCTGGTGCTCCCAATGCCAAAACAGGTCGCTTGTCAACAGTGACCTCAGCATGGCATCCTGCACTGGTCCAGTCAAGGACAAACTTGGCACAATTGCAGACTAGGTCGCTGAAAGGCAACAATGGAGTAGCAATGAATAGACCAGGTTCTTGGTATACTCCTGCTGCATGTAGTTCAGCTGGTTGCTTCCATGAGTTACAGAATACATACCTTTGCTTTCAGTTTTTGACCCAACCTTTGGACCACTTTGCTCCAGAGTGATCCGAATGTGAGCTGGGTCAATCAATGTAAACCGCTGACCATGGTTGGTGTAGATTGGGTCCCATCCAGGTCCACCCCACTCTTTGTTGTGAGGCTGGTGCACATTACCTTCATCTCCTTGATCACTTGGGGTAATGTGATCATGTTTGGCCCTAGCAGTGGCAGATGGAGTAATGTGGATAAGGACACTCTCGTGAACATCAACATCCATCACAAGCTTAACAGAGAAGACCTTGCCAGGCTGGAAAACTGGAGGGCTGAGTTTGGATTTGCTGTGAGCAGTTCCAAAGCATTTATTGTAAAACAAGGGCAAATTTGGATCAAATTGCTCATGGTTGGTGGTGTCCATTCCTCACAGGCTGAAGTGATGGGCATGAAATATGAAGCCGAAGGTTTTCTCCATTAGATCACATTGGAAGATATTCAACAGCTTCTCCTTGATATCAATGAAGGTGCTTTTTGCAGGAAAGTCCTGACAATCTTCAAGGTTCTGGGTGCAGGTGGTCAGAGAAGCAAATCAAGGATTCTATAGGGATGCACCAGGAAGGGCCTAGAACCAGCCTTCCCTGATGTCAGGGCACCAGCTCATTGCTTGGTCAAGAGACATGACTAAGCCTTTATGACATGGAAGTAGCTGGTATACCTTGGCATGTGCTGGAACCTGCTGGAAGGATTGGATGGTCAGGTGACCTGCTGTGCATGGCTGTGCATGACCTCATATGACCTGATCACCTGACTAGGCTGAGTAAGCAAGATGTTCTAGCAGGTTCCACCACAGAGGTATAAATATAAGGCCTACTCTGCCTGGGGACTGTCTCTTCAGACTTGGTCTCTTAGGATCATCCACAGGTACCTATACTGTAGATAGGTCTTAGTCATCAGTCTACTCCACTTTCTTGTTGCCTGCTTAGACTCTTGGCACTCTTAGTGAGCAGACTTAGTCAGCCTGTGTTGCCCTAA